GCAGGCACGCCTCCACCTTTCAGCCTACCCTCGGCCTTGGGCTCCACAGGAGCCCTGGCTCCTGGAGCAGCTGCTGGCTATGCACCCCCACCATTCCTGCATATCCTGCCAGCCCACCAGCAGCCTCACTCACAGCTGCTGCACCACCACCTTCCGCAGGATGCCCAGGTGAGTGCAGTGATGCAGGTGCCCTCCTGGCCCTGGCCTGGGGCTCCTCCTCCTGCTCTGACAGCCTTTTTTCCTCTTCTTCTTCAGAGTGGCTCGGGTCAACGCAACCAGCCCAACTCCCTGCAGCCCAAGTCTCAAGCTTCCAAACCTACCTATGGGAACTCACCATACTGGACAAATTAGACCCCCGAAGAAAGGGTGGGCTCTGGGGCAGGGCTTACCCTCGGCAGGAGAGAGCACACGGAGCACATTTCTGGGAGCCCAGTGCCCTTGAGACTTGTAAACGATGTCAGCTGAGCCTCTACGGGGAGCCTGCCTCCCAGACTTGCTATTGTATGTAATGTAATTTATGTATGTATTTGTAAATGTGATAGAAGCCTGAGGGAGTGGGGGTATGGTTTCAGGTGGCAGCCAACTCTGCTCTCCTAATGCAGACCCCTCCTCACTGCAGCCAAGCAAGCCCCTACAGCTCTTCTGCCTTCAGGCATTCCATATGGCCCCTGTCCTGGGAGCTGCGAGGGGCAGCAGCCACTGGAGGACTAGTTCAGGCAGTTTGAGTATTGGGGTCAGGTACCAATGAAGAATCACGACTTATCTCCCTGTGAACCATTATTTGTTTTCTCCCTTCTGTAATTACTTTATACCTCTGTTTTTGAGAAACTGGTCCTTTTGTCATTTGTCAAGGTCCCTCTTCCACCAAATCTTGATCTGGGAATAGCAGAGATGATCCCCTACCCAACATATAAACCCAGGGCTTCTGCTTGGTCCAGTCCTATCCCTAGAGACTTGCCTCTTTCTGGCCGACCATTTTACAAATAATTCAAACTGGGTCTCAGATGTTCATCCAGTCAGCTCCCCTTTGAAAAAAGAATCAAAGATCTGCTTCCACTTCAGTGAAAGCCTGTCTCCAAGTAAAGGCTCCTCTATGCCAGTTGTCCTGCACCAGGTAGGCAACTGTTTTGGGGGTTTCCCCTTGCCCAGATTCCACCTAATAAAGTTCTGAGAGCATGCTTCGTCTCTGTGTGGTATGGCTGAGGGGGTGGCACCCTGGAATTTCCTAGCAAGCCTATTGGGTAGTTCCTTCTCTGCTGGGCTTTCTCAGCCCAAATGTTATGGCTGAAAAGACAAAAGTTTCAGGGTCCACACTGTTAATGGAAGTTAATACAGCTTGTCTTGACAATTCAGCTCAGTGTGGCTTAGTGTAGAGTACTTGCCTAGCATGCATGAATCCCTTGGTTCCTCAGTACCACATACACAGAAAAGGCCTGAAGTGGCCCTGTAGCCCAAGTGGTAGAGTGCTAGCCTTGAGCAAAAAAAAAAAAAAAAATCTCAGGGACAGGTGCCCAGGCCCTGAGTTCAAGCCCCAGAACTGGGGAGGGGGTGGGAATCAGGCACTGTCAATAGGACTGCTAGGAGAGGGTAAGTTCTTTTCCAAACCTCTTTAAAACCTGGAGTAAGCACAGGCTTAAGAACTATGGTGTACCTATTCTCTGTATCTCCAAATAGTGTACACTGCCAGTCAGGGGCTCTGGTGAGACAGATGATTCATGAGTGATGTTAGGAGGCATGTTAGAAGTGATGTTAGGGTCTGAAAATGTTACTCCAAGAATTACAGCCTTTAATTTCAATCCTAAATCACAACTTCAGAGTAGGCTTGTAAGCAAAATGGAGTGCTGCTGCAAGCAAGTACAGGCTGAGTATCAGAAGTATTCCAGGATCATTTCAGATAAGGATTGACAGGTACTGGTCAAGTTACTGTTCCAGAATTGGCTAGAGGATCATGGAATTCTCCCCCCCCATTTTGATCAGAAATAATGCTCAAATGGGACACAGACAAGATGCTGGCTAGAAAAATGGCAAATGTCCACAACTAAAACTTAATAGGGACTTTTATTAAAAAGTGACCTTACTTGATTCCCTGCCATTTACTAGCGACAGAAAGTTGGGAATACAAACGACAAAAACAAGATGTTTCCGCCCTCTATCTCTTCAGAGACTTGTGCCCTATATTTCAGAATCCATTTTAGCAAATGGCCATGTCTCATTGGGGACAGTTATGTTCTAGGAAGGTCAGCCAGTTTTTGTGGTGGTTTTAAATTTCAACTGAGCATAATCAAGGTAACAAAATTTGAGTCCACTTTTTAAGGCCCCCCCCCCCCCCCGCCCCCCGACCTGGGCCTAGAACTTGAGTCTGGGCGCTGTCCCTAAGCTCCTTTTGTTCAAGGGTTGCACTCCACCACTTGAACTGCAGCACCACTTCTAGCTTTTTCTATGATTATTTGGAGATAAGAGTCTCATGGACTTTTCCTGACCAGGCTGGCTTTGAACCACAATCCTCAGATCTCAGCCTCCTGAGTAGCTAGGATTACAGGCGTGAGCCACCAGCGCCCGGCCATCTTTTAGTTTTAACACAAGGAAAAAAAGAGGGTCATGCCATGGGGAAGTAGCAATACAGGTATATTTTATTTCACATTTTATTAGTAGACAGATGGGCAAAAAAAAAAAAAAAAAAAAAAAAAAGACAAAACCACTAAAGGGGAAGTCAACAGAAAATGCATCAGATAAATCTTTTCTCATAAGTTAAACTGAAGAAAAACATCTACAATTTCATCTACGAAAACTATTAAAGTCAGGTGTATCTTGCTGGTTTCAGAGTAGTTGAAAATTGCATCTGAATCTTTTTAGTTGTAAATGTAAACCTTTTTAAAAAAATCAGGATAGGAGGGTGGAGAGTTAATTTTCAGCAGAGAACTGTAAGCTGTCCCCTTCCAATCTTTTACTAGATACATACTCAAACGTAAAGAAACCAGCAAGTAAAAGAGCAAATAATTGCCAGGGAAGGGGGAAAGAAAAGAAAGGACTAAAGAAAAGAAAAAAAAAAGGTAGAAAAGAACTCTGGAATGATAGGAAAGGAAGGGAAACTCGGAAAAGCAACAATGGAATCATGATATTATACTTTCTCCACTGAGCTTCAAAATACATGGAACTGAAGAGAATTCACTGAGGCCTCAATTAGAATCAAAAGCAATCTAAAAACAAAGGACTCTGAGTTCATTTCACACCAAATAAGCAGTACAAGTGTACTCAAAAGGTTCTGGCGTGAGCCTGAGACTCCCATCCACTCTCCCAAAGAGAAACATACTCAAGTATTTTTCCACTGGATATGTTCTCAGGGACAAGTCTGGAACCAGCATCATCTGGGTTTTATAACTCATCTAAACTACCAGAATGTCTACCTGCCAACAAGTCAGCACACCCCAGTCTCCTGGAACTGGTTGTATCATCAGAGGCACACCCAGCCAACAACAGTAACACCAAGAAGTGCTGAGAGGCACAACTTCCACTTGGCTCTCTGGCTCCCTGAGTCAACATGCAACACATGCTAAACAGGGCCTAATGGGACAGCTGAACATCACAGCACCTCCCAAAATGCCGAGGTGCCTGGACTAACTTGGGAGTAAGACGTTTCAGCAGTAAGTAAGGGGAACAGAAGGCTGAATTTTAGAGCTCTATGAGAATGAGACCAACCTACTGGCTGCTGTAAACTTGTGGGGTGGGGAGGTAAATCAGAGCATTGAGAGGCTTTGGCTCTAGGTTTGCAGGTTATCTGGAAGCATTTAAGTGTGGGGAGCAACAAGCTAGTTCTAATATCCTTTTAGGAGAGTTTGCACTCCTGCACAGCTGCTCTGTTCCTCGATTAAGTAATCAAGGGTACAAATAGCAGCTCTGGGGGGATTAAATAGAGATTCTGGGACCAGGCTCAACAGAGTCCCTTAAGAATCATAACATGTTAAAACATTCCCATTTAATAAAAGACCAAGCTTTAGAGGCTAGAGAGGGCTTCTGGGAAATAGCATATGTTTGGGAGAGTTTGAAGAGTGAATGAAAACCCTGAGATCAGAAAGGAAGGAGGAGCTACGGAAGTAAGGATCATCTACTCTGGACATCCTAGGATCAACCTATTCCTGTCCCTAATCTGCCCTTTGGTTCTTTCTGAACTATGATCTGAAGAAAAAGATGATACTGGTGCACAGGGATCTTATGCAGGACTGCAGTCAATCCTTGCTGTTTTCCTTCTGAAATCTGATTTTGCATTATAGGTTTTCCCCAAAGAACAGTATGAACTTGCATACCCTAGTAATAAAAATCACCTTCAAATTCTGAAGTCCCTGGATGGTGAAGGCTATTGGATCTCAATCTTGATTGAAGCAACACTTGATTAAGACCTGGGAAACAAAGCTGCAATTGTATGGTCAAAAAAATCTAGCCTTGCCTGGGCTGAAAACTGCCAGCAGTCACCTCCCTGGGCCCTACCCTACCAGAAAAGAAAAGCCCAGGGGAAGCTCCATGCACAATTTCTGTTGCACTCCACAGCCAAAGTACATTGAAAGAAAAAAATCCAGATCACATCCAATTTGAAGAAAGCAAGAAGCAGTCACTCATGTCTCACACATTTCCACATTTATCACTATAAGCAGCTCAATGAAAACCAAAACCTTAACACATGCACCTAAGATTAATACTGAGTAGTTAAAAGTGGCTAAATTAAAATAACATTAACAACAAAACCTCATGGTGAGAATGAATCTTTGAGGGGAAGGCCAAGTTAAATACATAAACAGATGTTTTCTCTCCCAATCGTGGCCACCAGTAGTTTGACTTTTTCCCTCAGTAGCATCAACCAAAAACTGGTGTGATTTTTTTTTTTTTTAAAGAAAAAACCCTTTGTTCTCATCACTAAAAATCCACACATTTCCTCCCCATTTGTCCCACTCCCTGGTGGGGATAAAAATAACCCTACCTTTAAAATAAATAGCAACCAAGTGCTCAGGTCTATGTAAAGTATGAATATTTATTTCAGGCTTTAGATCCCAATTGATTTCAAAAAACAAAATCTGATTTCTCTCCTCAGAATAACTGAGGCCACCATGTTCAGATGATTTCATGGAGGCAGAAGAAGCGCATTTCATCAGGCTTAGCATGAAGTAAGTCCCTGATGCCCGCCATATCCCAGCCTTAGGAAGGGAAAGAAACAAAATTTACTACAATGGGTCTGAACAAATATGCACGCACACTAATGTAGATGAGCAGCTAAACCTTGGCAAAAAAAAAAAGAAAAGGATTTTTTAGTTTGTTTTGTGGTTTTTTTGTTTTTGTTTTGTTTTTCCATTTTCTTTTGCTACCCAGTATATTATATGCAGCACTTATGAACTCCCAATGGGTTCCCAGCTTTAAACACATTAAATGTCTTTAACTAATTCTTCAGGAATCTAAAATCAGACCAAATGTGTTTTGCTGTGAACATTCTTGTAGACACGAAGTGAGGTGGGAGTTTGGATGATGGTGGTTTTTTAGGGGGGAAAAAAATCAATACAGTGATGGAAGGATAATGAATGCAAGAATTCAGACATTCTGTGGAGGGTTACTTTCTCTCCATTAAAGGTCCATAAAAAGGAGCAAACTGAGATCCATAGGGGAGTCAGCAGGAGCTGTCTGTTTTCCCCACCCCCTGTGAATAAGTTTTTGCTGAGGGGCCACTGCTAGGTCCCCACTTGGCTCCCCTCCCTTTGGCCTGAGACGGCAGGGCAGTACAGGGCCATTGAAGGAGCCCGTCACGACTCCTCATTCCCAGAATCATCATCGTCGTAACAGTCGGCATCTTCCTCCTCTTCATCTTCATCATCAATGTCATCATCATACAAGTCGTCATAAAGCAAATCTGAGCTGTTGTCATTGGAAGGCACTTTAGTTTTGATGCAGTATTCCGCCAGAGTTGTGGGGACCTTCACGCCATCTTTTTCTGCTTCGGCCTTAGTGGCTGAAACCTGTTTCCTGAAGGTAGGATGACATAAAAATGATTGTAAGTCTCTGTCTTAAAGATGTATTTTATAACTGGCTTTAATCAAGACTCCTTCTCCATTTGCTTTCCAAACTTTGTTGCTTGCCTAAAAGTATCCGGCAGATTCCCTGTACATACACAAAAGGCCTTTAATATGCTCACTTTTAATAATGACCTTTTTTTTGGGGGGGGGAGAAGGGTAAAAAAAAACCTGAAAAATTTAAAACAATGGTTCTTAAATAGTAGACGTTCTGTTTTTGGAGGAAGGGTTCCTTTTTTCACACCAAGTCGTTATGCAGCCCTTAATAATTAACAATCATAATAAAATCCCAGTTTGTGCTGCATTCTAGAGCCCACTGCTTTCTTTAATGCTAGCACATTCCAGCCACCGAGGCCATTAGTGCTTTATTCTCTGGTGGCATAGAGACAGAGCCCCAGGCGCCCGAGTGCTCCAGCTTCCTGTTTGGGTTGGCTTCAAACTGTGACCTTAAGGTCTCTGTCACCTTCGTACTTAGTCTTACAGACATGACTCTCCGGCACCCAGAGAGCCCAATCTTTTTTTAATGCTTGGATATAGATGCCTTTTCTGTCTAGGTCAGTTTCTTCCTCTGATCTCCCTCCTTGGTTTATGCCAATTTAAAAAAGGCTTTCCCTGATAAGCTTCTTTTTGAGTGGGGGGTACTGCGCTAGATAACTGAACTATACCCCAGCTCCATGGGCAGCTCAATGGCAAGTAGCCATCTAGTCACTTTCATACCACTCTTACGTTATTCTCCATCTATGATTAGTGTGAACTATGTAACTTGTGGGCAGGGACAGAGAGGGAAACTGGGGAAAAGTGAAGGAATGGGTAATATTATACTCATTACCTGACTTATGAAATGGTAACTCCCCTGTGTATCACCTTAATAATAACAATAAAATGGGTTTAGGTTTATTTTTTTATTTTTTGGCCAGTCCTGGGGCTTGAACTCAGGGCCTGGGCACTGTCCCTCAGCTTCCTTTTGCTCAAGGTTAGCTCTTGACCACTTGAGCCACAGTGTCACTTTCGGCTTTTTCTGTTTGTGTGGTACTAAGGAATCAAACCCAGGGCTTCATGAATATGCAAGCACTCTACTACGAAGCCACATTCCCAGCCTAAAATTGTATTTTTAAAAAACAAACTAGTCAAGCTGGGCACCAGTGGCTCACACCTGTAATCCTAGCTACTCAGGAGACTGAGATCTGAGGATCATGGTTCAAAGCTAGCCCGGGCAGAAAAGTCTGTGAGACTCTGATCTCCAAAAACCACTAGAAAACCGGAAGTGGCACTGTGGCTCAAGAGGTAGAGCGCTGACCTTGAGCTGAAGAGTGTAGGGACAGCGCGTAGGCCCAGAGTTCAAGCCCCACAACTGACAAAAAACAAACCAAAAAAAAAAAAAAAAAACTAGTAATCAAGATTGGAAGAAAAAGTAAACAACTTGAGTTCAAATCTCCGTACCATCCAAATCAAGAAGAAATTAACAAAATATCAGAACATCAGTTTTCTTGAATACACCAGTGTTCTTGAGACAAAATAAAATATATACAAAATACAAACAAAATAAAATTTTGAAACAAAATAAAATTTATACAAAATAGAACGGAAGGATTACTACCAAACACATTTTATGAAACCAGCATTACACTCATCCCAAACCAGTAAGGGGCCCAACAACAGAAGACCAATCAATCTCTGATGAACACAGATACAAAGCTCCTTAATAAAATACTTGCCAAGAGAATTCAGCAACTAATCAAAAATAAGTCAGTTTTATCTCAGAAATGCAAGGCTGGTTTAATATATGTAAATAAACATAATTTAACAGAGCCAAAGACAATCACAAATGATAGTTTCAATAGATGAGAAAGAACCTTCAATAGAATCTTACATCTGTTCATGTTTAAAGCTGTGGAGAAGGTAGGAATAGGAAGAAATCACCTCAACATAATAAAGGCTTTATGGTACAGAAACAACCAATTTCAAGCTTAAACCATTTCCTCTGAAATCAGAACAAGGCAAAGATGTCCACTCCTTTTCAATATATGGAATTTCTAGCCAGAACAATAAGTCAAGAGAAAGACATAAAAGAGAGGATTCACATAGGGAAGGAAGTCAAACTATCCCTATTTGCAGACAACATGATCCTGTATCTAAAGGATCTCAATGACTTCCCCCCCAAGCTCCTAGAGTTGACCAATAACTTGGGCAACCAGCAGGATACACAACCACAAAAAATCAGTAGCTTTTTTGTATACCAACGATGTTACAATCAGAGGGAAATCAGAAAAAATTCCATTTGCAATAGCCTCAAAAAAAGTAAAATATTTAGAAATAAACCTAACCAATGAGACAAAAAATACCTCTATAGTGAAAACTATAAAAATATAAAGAAAGGGCTGGATGCCAGTGGCTCACACCTGCTACTAGCTACTAAAGAGGCTAAGATCAATTATCCTGAGCGGGAAAAATCAGTGAAAATCTAATCTCCCAATTAAACACCAAAGAGCTGGAAATGGAGCTGTGGCTAAAGTGGTAGAATGCTAGCCATGAGCACAAAAGTTAAGGGCCAGTGCCCAGGCCCAGATTTCAAGTCCCAGGACCAGCATAGTAAGTAAATCAATCTGAGGAAAGAAATCAAAGATGACATCAGAAAATGGAAAGAACTCCCATGCTCATGGATAGGTAGAACTGATCATGTGAAAATGGCCATACAGCCAAATGATGATCTACAAATTTAAAGCAATCTCCATCAAAATCCCAATAATGTTCCAAATATTAATTTGGAACAACAAAAGACCTTGAATAGCCAAATCAATTTTAAGCAAATAAAGCAATCCAAGTGGTATCACAATCATAGTCCTCAAACTACTGCAGAGCTATAATAACGAAAACAGCTTGGTACGGCACAAAAATAATTTCAAAGATCAATGAACATACTAGATGACCCAGAAATAAAGCCATATAGTTACAGTTATCTGATATTTGACAAGGAAGCCAAAGTATACATACAGTAGAAAAAAAGATAGCCTCTTCAATAACTGGTGTTGGGAAAATTGGACATCCATATGTAGAAAACTAAAATGCATAAGTATCAATTCAAAGTGTATCAAACACCTCATTGTCAGACCTGAAACTTTCAAACTACTAGAAAGGAGTAGGAGAAACATTAGGACTTACAGGTATAGGTAAGAATTTTTTTTAAAGAATCCCAGGGAGAGAGACAACAAATGGGATTACATAAAACTAGAAAGGTTCTACACAGCAAAGGACACAGTTTCTAAACTAGAAAAGACAGCCAACAGATTAGGAGATCTTTACCATGAGGTTCATCTTATTGAGACAAGGGCCTTTCTAACATTTTGACCACATGGGTTGAACAATGATAAACTCATCCTGAAGAGTTGGATTACAAGTATATGCCACTGCAACTAGCTCCAGTCTCCTTAACTCTATATTTTAAACCTTAAAATACACCTCTAAACACAGTTCCAAAACAGGCACTGTGGCTCAAGTGGTAGAGTGCTTGCCTTGCATGCTCAAGGCCCTGGGTTCGATTCCTCAGCACCACATAAGCAAAAAGAAAAAAGCTGGAAGTGGTGCTGTGGCTCAAGTGGTAGAGCGCTAGCCTTGAGCTGAAGAGCTGAGGGACAGTGTCCAGGCCCAGAATTCAGGCCCCACAACTGGACCAAAAAAAAAAAAAAAAATCTCAGGGACAGTGTCCGGACCCTGAGTTCAAGTCCCAGGTCTGGCAAAAATAATAATAATTTTAAAAAAAGAACATCAGTTTCCTAATTTAACCTGGAAAGGTTCTGTCCCTCCTAACTCGCATGCATTACGTACTGTTGCTCCTGAGGCTTCTGGCTTCACTCTGTGCTCTCACCATTCTCCTGACACATCTTACCTGTTCCTATGGTTCTAGTCACTCTCCATTTATAGTGATAATTCTCAAATCACAAGTCAGCTATTTCTTCTGAGTTCTAGCCACTTTAAACGTCAAATGTTTTTTGGATGTCCAAAGGATGAACCAAGTTCAAATATCAGTACTGTGGAGGGGAAGAGGGCTTGAAAGTTTTGCAAAATTCTTGGCCATTATGTAACCCTTCTATCTTCCGAAGCATGTGACAGGGAAATGAAATACTGGCCCATTTTCTTACTTTTATACAGATGGAGACATTAAACATCCCAAATGTTAACTGACAAGTGGTCACGTGAAATGTGCCAACACCAACAGTAGATTCTGGTTCTTGTTCTAGATCAGTTTTACCACATTACTATTGGTAACAATAATGATATCCAGGGCGAGGGAGGCTGGGAAGGGAGGTGAAGGGTAAACAAAGGAGGAGGCTGCAACACTTGATAAGAAGTGTACGCATTATCCTGCCCATGTAACTGTAACCCCTCTGTACAGTATGTTCACAAAAAATAAAAAATTAAACAATAATGATATCCAGCAGATGTTTGCCACCTTGGCCAAAAGAATCTTTAAATCATGGGACTTCATTATTAAAAATTACTGTCTTTCATACAAGTGTATGTAGTATACCTGCAATGTCTGATGCTCTGGATAAACATGGTTACTGCATTTAACGGACACAAAAGCCAAAAGAGGGTTCTTAAGGTGGCTAGGAAGGAAATCCTGCAAAACAGACCAGTTAAGCTACAAGTTAAACCAGGCATAGTGGTACAAGCCTGTAATCCAAGCACTCAAGAGGCTAAGGTAGGAGAGTCATGAGTTCAAGGCCAGTCTAGATTACAAGTGAATGAAGCTTTGTCTCAAACGAATAAAATCTGGGCCCCAGTGGCTCACACCTGCATTCTAGAGTTACTCAGGAGGCTGAGATCTGAGGATCATGATTTGAGCAAGCTCAGGCAAGAAAGTTTGTGGGACTCCAATTAATCACAGAAAAAGCTGGAAGTGGCTCAGTGATAGAATGATAGTCTTGAGCAAAAGGAACTCAGGGACAGAGTTCAGGACCAGCAACAGATAGATGATAGAGACAGACAGATATAGATACAGATAATCCAAGAATCTGGAAGTGCTGGTTCCTAAGAAACTAGATCTGTTTCAGCACTATTTTGAGGATTCAAGCAGAAACCTTCCTTTTGTATACTACAAATATAACTGAGAGGAATCATCCTGGAGTGGTCAGGATATTTAAATCTGATTTAAACCCTTGGTTCCAGAATATGTTTTGGCTTATAGAAAGATGAAGTAATAAAAAGACAAAACAAAGTACCTTACCTAATGATTTCAGCATATTCTTTGTCTTTTCCTTTGCTGTCCCTCCATTTCCTGAACATAACCGAAGCATCCACATTGGCTGGGGAGAAGGTGTTGGGCTCATTAAGCAGTGAGATTACACTTAACAGGATAGTCCTGAAAATAGGGGAAAAGGATCAGCTGTGAATACTCACATCAAATTTTCCAATACAATTTAAGGTCTTAGATAATCAAATGTTTTCAGTATTCAGCTGTCGAGGCTAGAGAAGCAGGTGCTTACCAGGCATGTTGGTACACTCAACCTCTTCAGGAGGACCACTAGGGTTTGAGGCCAGCCTGGGCTACAACAGTCAAAAGAAAAGTCTGCTGGCTGGGGGACAGGGCAGAGCAAATACATGAATCTGGCGTGGAGGTCAGATTGCAAGGAATGCAGTGACTGCTAGAACGAACTGTCTCAACTGCCTATATGTTCCATCCTGCAAAAAGCAGGTATCTGGAAGCTTTCAAATACCATGTATTAATAATTACTTAATTTAATTACTTAAACTTAGGTGGAGCAGGAAAAGAAAAGCATAAAACGGGTTAGGAAGGTGGCTCAGTGGTAGAGCGCTTGCCTTGCATGCTTGAGGCCCTGGGTTCGATTCCTCAGCACCACATAAGCAAAAAGAAAAAGCCAGAAGTGGTGCTGTGGCTCAAGTGGTAGAGCGCTAGCCTTGAGCTGAAGAGCTGAGGGACAGCCCAGGTCCAGAGTTCAGGCCTCACGACCAGACCAAAAAAAAAAGAAAAGCATAGAATAGTTTTAAGGCTATTTTCTCATGGAAGAAGGTAAACATACCAGTTATCCTATTTGTATTGTGGACACTTAAGACATCTGAAAAATATTAACTACTTTATACCTATAAGCAAAGGAAAACAATTTTCTCAAGAGAATAGAGGAAAAGAGAAGCCTTTGGAGAGCTGACCTCTTGAATAATCTACTTACAAAAAATAGTTACTAACTACCTACTGTCTTTCAGAGGCACCAAGTAAGATGTTAAACATATCATGGTGAGCAATTTAGACGCCATTCTTGACTGCCCAGTGCTAACTGGTCCAGTAGATTCATACAACATTCAGCAATTTCAAACCGTCAATCTTAACAGACTAAAGTTCCTAGGAACCACAGAAGAGGCCTCTAAGGCAAGAAAAGGGCTCTAAGACATTCCAAACTTCCATGGGGGCTTGAACCCTGGGCCTGGGCACTGTCCCCGAGCTCTTCAGCTCAAGGCTAGCAGTCTACCACTTGAGCCACAGTGCCACTTCCAGTTTTCTGGTGGTTAATTGGAGATAAGAGTCCCATGGACTTTCCTTGCCTGGGCTGGCTTTGAACCACAATCCTCAAATCTCAGCCTTCTGAGTAGCTAGGATTATAGGTGTGAGCCACCAGTGTCCAGCTCTGTAAGACTGATCTCCAATTAACCACCAAAAAGCTGGAAACAGAGGTGTGGCTCAAGTGGTAGAGTGCCAGCCTTGAGTGAAAAGCCAAGTGCGAAAGTGTGGCCCTGAGTTCAAGCCCCAGTACCAGCAGGTGCTCACATATGTGGGGACACATCACACACACACACACACACACACACACACACACACACACACACACACACACACACACAGTTGCATTATTGGTTTCTCTTTCTCCCAACCAGTCCCAACAGAGTGTTATTTAAAGCCACTCGGCTGCAGAATGTACATGTAAGAGACCTCAAACAAACCTTACTAAGTAGTGAGAACTGGGTGGAGAAAAGAGACTGAAAGATCAGCATGCTGTCACCTCGCAGACTACAGCCCTCTTATAGCTAGACGAGGTGGCAAGGATGCCAACCTCAAAGAAGCAAAGTTTCAAAGTAATATAAAATTTAAAGACTTGCACATAGACCAATCATGATTTCCCAAACACTGACTGATACAAAACAAAATTTGACACTTGTAGACAAGACATAGCTACTTCCAACCTAGAAACGGACGGTGAATTTCAAAAGGCTAAAAAAATGAGTGGTAGAAATGGGATTTTCTTTCTTTTGCGGAAGCAAGAAGAATTAATGGTCATGCATATAATCCTTTCTGTGAGTTTCTGGGAAGGGGGCAGAAATGGTACAGAAATCTTAGCTCTAACCATCTTATTTTGGTCAGCAAGGTTCAGAATTTTTCAGGATTAAAACTGTATGTGTATGCATATATCCCTCCAGGCAGTATATGAGAGGTAGAAAGGGCTCATTTGTAAAAATGCAAGTTTAGCTCACTTCAACTTCACACACACGTATGCGCACACGCATGCTAGCGCACACACATAGATTTGGACTGCATTTCATGGGACATAATTTTGTGTTAAGCTGATGTGTGGAAAATAAAGCCCAATTCTAATGCCACAAGGAAATGGCATATGCAATGTAACCATTTGTATTGACTTTGTATTCTATACTGACCCTTCCAATCTTTGAGTTCTTTTTTTTTTTTTTTGGGGGGGGGGGGGGGGGGTCCGGTCATGGGGCCTGAACTCTGGGCCTGGGCGCTGTCCCTCAGCTCTTCAGCTCAAGGCTAGCGTTCTACCACTTGAGCCACAGCGCCACTTCCGGCTTTTTTCTTTTTGCTTATGTGGTGCTGGGGAATTGAACCCAGGGCCTCACGCATGCAAGGCAAGCGCTCTACCACTGAGCCACCTTCCCAGCCCTCTTTGAGTTCTTTTAATCTCCCACTTATTCTCTTTCCAAGGACAGACCAGTAACACTAGAAAATGACTCGTTAAAGCTGCCCTCAATCAAAGTACATTGTATTCATAAATTGATACATTGAACTGAGATCCCTTTGTACAACTACTTAAAAACAAAAGGTGGCTCATGCCTGTAATCCTAGCTACTCAGGAGGCTGAGATCTGAGGATCCCGATTCAAAGCCAGCCAGGGCAGGAAAGTCTGTGAGATTCTTATCTCCAATTAACCACCAGAACACCCGAAGCAGCACTGTGGCTCAACTGGTAGAGCACTTGCCTTGGGCTGAAGAACTGAGGGACAGCACCCAGGCCTATAGTTCAAGCCCAACAACTGACGAAAGAGAAGGGGGGAGGGGCAGAAGGGAGAGAGGGAGGGGAAAAAGGAAGGAAAAGAAAAGAAACGATGGTAGTGAGGATCCTCAATAAGGCGATATTCTCACATCAGCTGAGGAAAGCTGTGCCACTGAGTGGGGGAGGACTAACAAGGGGAATGAATAAAGCTGATTATGAGTGAAGGAATTTGTTTGTGTGTCTGAAAACAGAACAATTAAATCTGCTGAAATTATTTTGGGGCAGGAGGAGTGGGATAGAGGCAAATAATACAAGGTGTATAGAATTAGGAAAGTGTATGCATGTGGGGAGATTTTACAATGGAAGCCCTTTGTACAACTACTATACGTTAATTTTTAAAAAGATTAAAAAGGTAGGTACCAGTGTCTCACTTCTGCAATTCCAGCGACTCAGGAGACTGTGGTCTGAGGATAGTGATTTGAAGCCAGCCCAGACTAGTATCTCCAATTAACCACCAAAAAAGAAAGCCATTAAGTGGAGCTATGGCTCCAGTGTCAAGTGATAGAGCACCAGGCATTGAGCCAAACAGATCAGGGACAGTGCACGTTCAAGCCCTGGACAGAGACAGAGAGACATATACCAAAAGGAAAGGGAAGGGAAAGGGCTAGAGGGAAGGAAAGAGAAAAGGAAGGGGAAAGGTAACCAAAAAATCATGGGCTTGAACTTAATGTAAAAGAATTCTAGCTCAAAAATTTTCTCCATAGGGGCTGGGAAGGTGGCTCAGTAGTAGAGTGCTTGTGGCTCAGTGGTAGAGCGCTTGCCTTGCATGCCTGAGGCTCTAGGTTCAATTCCTCAGCACCACATAAGCAAAAAGAAAAAAGCCAGAAGTGGCGCTGCGGCTGAAGTGGTAGAGTGCTAGCCTTGAGCTGAAGAGCTGAGGGACGGCGCCCAGGCCCAGAGTTCAGGCCCCACGACCAAAACAAAAAAAAAAAATTTCCTCCAATAGTGAACTCTAAGGAAGTTGGAGTCACATGTATTAAAAGTCAAGACATTTAGCTGAAACTTCAAATACTTCTTAAAACTGAAAGTGTTGAGGGCCAGTGGCTCATCCTAACTACTCAGACGCTGAGATTTGAAGATCTCAGTTTGAAGCCAGCCCAGGCAGGAAAGTCTGTAAGACTCTAACCTGCAATTAACCACCAAAAAGCCAGAAGTGGGGTTTTTTAAAAAAAAAAAAAAAAAAAGCACAGGGACAGTGTCAGGTCCTGAGTAGGTTTCCCAGGACAGGCACATATGCGGGCATACACATGCGCGCGCCAAGTGTGCACATGTACGCACGTGCGCGCGCGCGCACACACACACACACACACCACCACCACCACCACCCCAAAAAAAAACTAGCGGAAGAAAAATCAACCTAACACAGGAAACTTCCTGTCACACAAGTTAAAAGACAATGAATTAAGTTCACACAAAAATACATCAACTGGTAGGCTTCTATAGTCACAGCTATTCGGGAGGCTAACGCAGGAGTTTTCAAAGTCAGCCTGGGCAACATAGAAAGTGGCAACATAGTAAGACTGTCTCAAAAAGCAAAATGAAGTAGAACAGAACAACAAAAAGTATTAGCACCTTACCTCACGTTCTGAGTAGGATTCCACCTTTCTGAGGGGAGTTCTCCACTCTGTGGGTCATCTACAGGTGGATGAAGAATCGAAATGCATACATCTCCATTCTACAAGACACAAATATCACACTGCATAAATACCTAAAAAGTGATGTATAAGCCAGATGTGGTCACACACACATAATTCTAGCATTAAGGAGACCGAGGCAGGAAAATCTAAAGTTTGAAGTTACTAAAAAAAGTTTAAGGCTGGGTGCCAGTGGCTCATATCTGTAATCCTCGCAACTTAGAAAGCTGAGACCTGAGAATTGTGGTTCAAAGCTAGTAAGGGCAGGAAAGTCTGTAAGACTATCTCCAATTAACCAACAAAAAGCTACAATTCCAAGTGTGGCTTAAGTGGTAGAGTGCTAGCTAGCTATGTGCAAAAAAAACTCAGGGACAGCATGCCCAGGCCCTGAGTTCAAGCTCCAGGATTGTTGCACATGCCGGCATACACATGTGTGCACATATACACAACCATACACCATAAACAAGTTTCCTTCTAGTACACAACACATGAATAAAATCAAAGACAATAATTATCTCAATAGATCCAGAAAAGGCCTCTGACAAAATGCAGTGTTTTTATGATAAATCCCTGAAGAAATTAGGAATTATGATCCTACCTGAATTTAATAGAGGATATATACAAAAATAGCTATGCACAAGTTATATTAGGTAAAAACCTTTCTTTAAAAATTAGAAATAATGGGCTGGGAAGGTGGCTCAGTGGTAGAGCGCTTGCCTTGCATGCCTGAGGCCCTGGGTTCGATTCCTCAGCACCACATAAGCAAAAAGAAACAGGCCGGAAGTGGCACTGTGGCTCAAGTGGTAGAGTGCTAGCCTTGAGCTGAAGAGCTGAGGGACAGCGCCCAGGCCCAGAGTTGAGGCTCCACAACTAGACACCTTCCCCCCCTCCCCCAAAAGAAATAGAAATAAGGGCTGGGGAGGTAGCTCAGTGGTAGAGTGCTTGCCTTGCATGCATGAGGCCCTGGATCGATTCCTCAGCACCACATAAGCAGAAAAGGCCAGAAGTAGCCCTGTGGCTCTAGTGGTAGAGTGCTAGCTTTGAGCTGAGGAGCTCAGGAACAGTGTCCAGGCCCAGAGTTCAAGCCCCACAACTAACAAAATAAATAAATAAAAATAAAGAGGAAAAGGATTTCTAATTTCTCTCTTTTTTAATGCCAATCCTGGGATTTGAATTGAGGGTCTAGATGCTGTCCCTGAGCTTTTTTTATTTTTTGCTCTAAGGCTGGTGCTCTACCACTTGAGCCACAGCTCCACTTCTAATGTTTTGATGGTTAATCGGAAATAAGTCTTCCAGACTTTCCTGCTTGGGCTCACTTCAAACTCAATCCTCAGATCTGATTCCTGAGTGACTAGGATTACATGTATGAGCCACAGGTGCCTGGCTACTTTCTTTTTATTATTTTTAAATTTTTTTAATTTTAAAGTATTCTCTTTTTTAAAAAATTATGTGATGTACTGAGGGATTACAGTGTCCTAAGTCAGTAATAAGTGCATTTCTTTTTAGACAATGTCACCCCTTTCTTCCGTCTCCCCTAGTTTTTCTCTCCTGTTCCCACCTATAAGTTGTATAGTTCATTTTCAACATAGGATCCCAGAGAGTTCCAGTGATGCAGATGTTCCCCCTTTGTCCTTCCATTTCTGTGCCCCCCCCCCCCCCAAGAGGGCAAACAAGACAAATGAGCAAGCAAGAGTAAGAAAACAAAAAGAGCAACAAAGAAAAAAACCTCATTTCCATTTCTTGGGAGTTCATTTCAATAAATATTGTTATACGATCAGAGACACATAGGCATTGTGCCTTTATGTACTTTTTCCATTCTTTTTTTGTTTTTCCCGCCAGTCTTGGGGCTTGAACTCAAGCGCCTGGGCACTGTCTCTGAGCTTCTTTTGCTCTACCACTTGAGCCAAAGTGCCACTTCTGGCCTTTTCTGTGTATGTGGTACTGAGGAATGGAACCCAGGGCTTCGTGCATACTAGGCAAGCACTCTACCACTAAGCCACCTTCCCATCCCCTCTCCACTCTTATATTTAATATTGTGCTTGAATTTTTAACTAAAGGAAAGGCAAAAATAAGACAAATTGGCAAGGAAGATGTCAGATTATTTCTATTTGTAGACTATAGGACCCGGTATCTAAAAGACCCTGAAGACTCTACCACAGAACTTCTCAGATCTCTCAGATCTGACACTTTCAGAGAAGCAGAATACAACATCAACATACTAATACCACCAGCTTTTCCATATACCAATTTAAAAAAACCAACCCTTGGGGAGGGAAGGGGATGGTAGGGAAAAAACAAAGGTGGAGGTAACAATACTCAATAGGAAATGTACTCATTACCTTACTCATGTATCTGAAACCCCTCTGTACAGTACTTTTACAATAAAAAATATATACCAAAAAAAAAAAAAAAAAACACCCTACTACTCATTGAAAAAAGAAATCAGGAGAGCAAGGAAAGTGCTCAGACCCCGAGTTCAAGCCATAGAACTACACACACACACTCTCTCTCTCTCTCAAATTAGGAAAAAAAAATCCCACTCAATTTCAAAAAGGAAAAATAAAACTAAGAAGGTAAGAGATAACAAAACAACAAAACTACAAAACACTGAAAAAACTGTAACAGATGGCAAGAACTCCTGTTCATAGATCCTCAGAATTCATACTGGGAAAATGAACATATTGCATTGATCTACAGATTCAATGTAATCTCCATAAAAATTCCAATGACAGGACTGGAGGCATGGCTCAAGAAGTAGGCTAGCAAGAGCAATGCTCTAAATCCCAGAAGTACTAAAGAAAACCAATAGTAGTAATCTCAATAACATTCTTCATAGAATAGAAAAAATTCTGAAACTTATATGGAAACACAGAAGACCCCAAGTAGCCAAAGCAATCCTGAGCAAAAAAAAAAAAAAGCAACATTGAAAGTATCACAGTATTTCATTTCAAATTATACTACAGAGTAATCGTAACAATGACATGGCCCAAAAACATGTAGATCAATGGAATACAAAAGGGGACCTATTAGTAAATTCATACAACTAGAGACATCTGATTTATCATAAAGCTGCCAAAATCATTTCAGAAAAGTGGTGCTGGGAATAAACAGCAATGTGTATGGCAAAGACTGTAACTAGATCTAATCCTGTATAATAATCATTAAAAATGGATCAAAACCCTTTATATAACTTTGAAACTACTAGAGGAAAATACTTCATTGCTCAGGAAAGAAGAGCAAGACTGACAAATGGGAACGCATCAAATTAAGAAGCTTCTGCACAGCAAAGGAAACAATTACCAGATTGAAAAGACAGCCAAAAGAATGAGAAAAAACATCTTTGACAACTATTTATCTTACAGAGGCTTAATATCTACACTACTTAAAAGAACCTGGAAAAAAATTAAAATACCAAAAGAAATAATCTAATCAATTAAAAACATTTTTCAAATGAGGAAGTACAAATGGCCAATAAATCATTAGAAAATGTTAAATAGCTTGAGCCATCAGAAAAACGCAAACTCAAACTAAACATATGAAAGCCAGGTGCTGATGGACAAAGTCTCAAATCCCAGACACTCAGGAAAGCTGACATCAAGAAGATATTGATTCATGGACAGCTCAAGGCAGGAAAGTTTCAAAAGCATAAAATGCTTAAGTGATAGAGTAAAAATTTTAGATATGTGGTAAGGTAGCTTATCTTAGCTGAGTGCCATTATGGGAAAAAATAAACTGGGCTAGGCTAGGGGCTGAGGTCAAATCATAGAGTGCTGCCAAGGAAGTAGAAGTCTCTGAGTTCAGTCTCCAGCAGCAAAATTAAATTAAGCTAGACTACGTTAAAATTGAAAATTATTCAGGATATTGCTCAAATAGTGGAACATTTTGCCTAGTAAGCACTAGATTTAGTTCAAACACCAGTACTGCCCAATTAAATCAGTTAATTAATGAAAAAAATTTGTGCACATTTAAAAAACATTATGAAGAAAGTGAAAAGGTAACACATAAAATGTGAAAAAAATTGAAAATCAAATCTGACGGAGGTTTAATATCTGTACTATATAAGGAATTCCAAAAACTCAATAACAAAAAGATAAACCACCTGACTAAGAAATGGACAAAGGGGGGGGAGGGAGGGAAAGTGGGAGAAAAACGAGGGGGGGGTACCATTGTTCGACAAGGAATGTACTCAGTACCTTACCTAGTAACTGTAACGCCTCTATACATGGCCTTGACAATTAAAAAAAAAAAAAAAAAAAAACAGAAAAAGTTGAGCACAGGAGTACACAGCAATAGTTACCAGCAATTTGAGAAACAAAGGCAGGAAGATCACTTTCTCCAGGAGTTTGAGGACAGCCTAGTCAACAAAAGCTGGACAACATGAAAATCTGTCTTTAAATACATACATATGAGTATGATGGGTATGTATTTAATAGGTAAAGCACAATCATTTCTACAATAAAAATACACAAATGGGGGGCTGGGAAGGTGGCTCAGTGGTAGAGCACTTGCCTTGCATGCCTGAGACCCTGGGTTCGATTCCTCAGCACCATATAAGAAAAAAGAAAAAAGCCGGAAGTGGCGCTGTGGCTCAAATGGTAGCGCTAGCCTTGAGCTGAAGAGTTGAGGGACAGCGCCCAGGCCCAGATCCAGGTCCCATAACTGGACCAAAAAAAAAAAAAAAAAACCACAAATGGCCATTAAGTAAATGAAAGGATGTTCAGGATATTAGGGAATTACAAATCAAAATCACAATGAAAGATTAGTATAGCTACATTTGATTTTTTTTTAATTTTTTTCTTCTAGCATGACTATACTTGAAAAGAGAAAATAAGCCAGGCGCCGGTGGTTCATGCTTGTAATCCTAGCTACTCAAGAGGCTGAGATCTGAGGATCGCGGTTCAAAGCCAGCCCAGGCAGGAAAGTCCATGAGACTCTTATCTCCAATAAACCACTAGAAAACCGGAAGTGGTGCTGCGGCTCAAGCAGTAGAGCGCTTGCCTTGAGCTGAAGAGCTGAGGGACAGCGCCCAAGCCGAGTTCAA